TGGTGCATAATACGGAATCCCTCGTTGTTAGCCATTCGAACCAAATCCTAATTGACATGTTATCCACGCCTGCTCGGTAGAATATAGAACATATGAGCTAGAGTAAGCGTGATCAGTTTGGTGTTTATCTCGTTTTATCCTTATATTTATAACAGAGATAAACAGATTATTGGCGGATGTACAGTTGACATGGTCAATTCAAAAAATGGAATATTGATCGTTGCTGGTTGACATGATTTCTGTATAAATGTCATATACTTATAGTTAGTAGATTTGTTCCACAAATGAATAGAAGAACCTTTTGTTAAATCACAGCTGATTTACAGGTTTTGTATAAAAATGATTCCTCCAATTGCTCCGGGACAGTCCGATTTGAATCAAGACATGGTTGGATGGGTGAGAGAAAACCGCACTTATTTTATAAATAAGTACAGATAGTTATTAGTGTAGTGCAGGGTTTTCCAAACTTTTTCTATAACAAATCACTTTCCAAAATCCAGAAATTTTAACGCAATATCTACTTTATATTGCCACCTGAAAAAAGTCATCACATTTTTCATGGGGCCCACATCAGAGCGGATGAAATGTCAAGCAAATTTTTTCGCGGAACATTAGTTCAGGTGCCGCGGAAAACAGTTTGGGAACCTCTCGTGTAGTGTATTTGATCTTATTATTTTAACATCATTGGTAATTTATAGTTCGGTGATCGAAATGACCAGATCTTGCTTTTAGAACAACACGTTCAATATGCGACCATTCACGTTACTCAATTTGGCCGCCAACACTTTGGGTATGAAGAATGGTGCGAAAGTCACCATTCAGAACCATAGAAAATCTTACAGCGTTACCAGCGCTACTAAGTCCTTAGATTTGCTGCGGAAGAATGTCCAAATGGCAATAAATAAAGATATTGACAATATTATTAAGAAGTATTTGGATGTAAGTTTTGTTTAATTTGTATATCTAATTTTAGGGATAAGATTTTTCAAGAAATGTATTAAGTAAAATTTGCCGTAATTCGCGAATAAGCAAGTTTAAAATTTTCGGTCAGGAATTTAGTACTTAGTATAAATAAAAAATTTCAATTATTATCGAGATGTGAACATTTTTAGAGACGAAAGAGTCAACAGATCTGTTGATGATGTCTGATGATCTGATAATAACTGTAATAAGAACTCGATTGCTCGATTGTAGCTTGTTTTGGATTATTTATCGTCTTCAATTCTAACTTTTTGACTCAATAAATTACATTAAATTATGCGCTCCATAATAATAGAAAAATCAACATTAAAATCTCCACTTAGAATCATTGATTACCATTGATTAATGGTAATTTTTGATATTTTTCTCCAAGTAAACGGGAACCTTACGACCGGTCGTCCTTTGGATGCGTTTTCGTCTGAACTGCATTAATCAGAAATCGTGCGAAAAGGAGCGAATTATTATTTTTTTGACCAATTTTATTGCAACGTACTGGAGCTCGTCCACTTGATCCGAAGTCATTCGCACGAATGACTTCGGCTTCTGACTAAATAGCGAATATTTTTGTGACACACCGACCTGAAATGGATATTGGAAAACTAATAAGCCTTTCTGATTCTTTTTTTAAATCTTCATACAGGGTGTCCCACGTGGGAACCGCCTCGATCGATATCTGGTAAACTGTAATTAGGAAAAATTTGAACATTGGACAGTGTGCCGAAGTCATTCTGGCCAAGCGGCCGAAATTTTTTTCAAGTTGGCCACACGTCCGGTTATACCGGGAGTAGGTATCAACTTGCTTATTTAAATGAAACACCCTATATATTATTACCAAAAGTATTTAGTTTTTGAAATATTGTCAGTTTAACGAATTCATTTTGCAACTATTTTGTAGCATCTTATTTTAAATACTGCCACTCTCATAGTTGTCATAACGACATTTTTAATACAATGAAATGCCAAAGGAATGCTTACAGCGCACAACTAAGCGTTAACACCATTATTGAACATTTAACAATATGTGTAAAGTCAACTTATTTTTAATACAATGATAATTTTTATCAACAAAATTTTGGTAATTTTTTTCTTTTTTCAGTAATTTATTTATGGAAAATTTTGAATCAACTTTTATAAATTTAAACCAATAATTTGGTGGCGTTATATTGATGATGTATACAGTATGTATGATGTATGACAGTCATGGCGAACAAAAGCTTGATGAATTTTCATCTTATCTGAACATTAAAAAACCAAGAATTTATAGTCACTATTGAAACTATTGAAACAAAATCACCAAATTCCTTTTCTCGATATACTGATTGAGAAAAATTTTGACAATTTCGAAACCTTGGTCTATCGAAAACGTACTCATACTAACCGGTATTTAAATTTTAACTCAAATCACCCGATAATGGTAAAAAAAGGTATTGTGAAAAGTTCACAAAATAATTCATAAAATAAATTTTAAATTTCAATAATTACCCAAATTCTTTTATTTGAAAATGTTTTATCGAAATGCATTCCCACAAACAAAAAAAAATCAAAATAAACCTATTGTAAACCTTTTTATTCCATTTATTCCACGACTTTCAGATCAAATTAAACGAGTAGGTAAAAAATGTAATATTAGGACTATCTTCAAAACTAAAAATGCAATAAATTTAATATAGGAAAAACCTCAAACCATTACACAAAAGAATCGAAGAACACCATCAAAGATCACACATAAAAAACGAAAAAGAGAATATCATAGGTCACATATTTGTCAACAAGCATAATCATCAACAAGTATTGGCAATTCCGCCTTCGCGTAATGTATTGTGGTTTTACTATTTTAGCCTTGAAGAGGACTCCAATAAAGTTCGAAACGTCGGCAGATAATTGAATGATGTTTTCATCATTGTCCCACACCCACTACCTTCACTTTAAATTTCCAATTGGGACGCAAAAAAAAACTGAAACAAAATTGTTTATTTAAAATTTTTAATTTAAATGAACTT